CATTTTTTGTCCCTGGCTATGATCCTCTTTAATGTGTTCTCTTTTTATTTCTTATTTTCAGTTCAGTTAAGTTTTGGTTTTTATCACTCAGACATTAATTTTCTTCACTGAGTTTATTTATATTTTTTATACATGTACCTTAGTTTATTCCATTTTATGGTATGTGTGATTATTGCCATTTTATATGTCTATCTGTATGCTTGCTCAAAGAGTTTTGGGGTCTTTTTCATGTAGAGGTAGAGGCTTAGCCTTAGAGGACATGAATATTCTCGTCACTCACAACTCTAGTAACCGAACCTCGTACAGGCTATCTTACTACATCCTCACGGTGCGAATATGACTCAGCTCTTCTACTTCTAAAGTTAAATCTTCCTTATTTTTCATTGTATATACTAACCACAGTTCTCCCTCCCTCTCTCTCCTTCTCCTACCCCACATCTCCCCCCCTCCTACTCCCTAGGAAGTCAACAAAGTCTGGCATACAAAGTTGAGATAGAACCCACCCTCCCACCCTGCATCCCCTGTGTCATGGCTGAGCAACATATCCCTCCATAGGAAATGGATTTCAAAAAGTCAGTTCACACATCCAGGATAGGTTCTGGTGCCACTGCCAGCCCACTCTTCAACAGAACAAGCCACATAATTGTCACCCACAAGTAGATCAGTATTTATCCAGGGTATACAAATGGACTTTGGACTCCCATCCAACAATGAGAGATGTACTCTCACCCTGAACTCTTGGGGGAGAGTCTAGGCCCTGCCCTGGATGAAATGATAGACTATGGACACCCCCATGGAGGGCCTCACCCTCCCTGGGGAAATGAGGGGATATTGGGGGGTTGGTGGGAGGGCACAGGAGGAGGGGAGGGAAACGGAGAGGGACCTGAATTGACATGTGAAGCAACCTTGTTTCTAATTTAAATTTAAATAAAAAACTCAAAAAAATAATTCTTCATACACAATTACATTAAAATAATTTGAACCAGAAAAAAAAGAGGGTCTAGTTCATTCCCATGCAGGTCCCTAACTGTCAGACCATTGTCTGTGAACTCCCACTACCTTGGGTCAGCTGTCTCTGTGGTTTCCCCATCATGATCTTAACCTGACTTGTTCATGTGATCCCTCCTCTCTGTCTTCAACTGAACTTAAGGAGCTCAGGCCAGTGCGTGGCTGTGGGTTACTGCATCTGCTTCCATCAGTTACTGGATGTAGTTTCCATGGTGAAAATTAGGGTAGTCACTAATCTGATTAAAGGGGAAGGCCTGTTAGGACACCCTCTCCACTATTGCTAGGAGTCTTGTCTGGAGTCATCCTTGTGGATTCATGAGAATGTCTCTAGAACCAGGTTTCTCCCTAACTCCATAATAGCTCCCTCTATGAAGGTATCTCTTTCCTTGCTCTCCTCCTCCGCCCCTCCCTCAACTTGGTCTCCTTGATCCCTCACATTCCCATCCCCATCCCCTCCCTTCTCACCCTCTCCCCCAGTTTGCCCAGGAGATCTTCACTATTTTTCCTTCCTGGGGTCCTCCATGTGTGTCCCTCTCAGGGTCCCACTTTTACCTGGCTTCTCTGGGGCTGTGGCTTGTAGCCTGGTTATCCTTTGCTTTGCATCTAATACCCTTTGAGTGAGGACACACCATGTTTGTCTTTCTGGGTCAGGGTTACCTCCCTCAGGATGTTTTTTTCCTAGTTCTGTCCATTTGCCTACAAAATTCAAGATGTCATTGTTTTTTACCACTGAGTAGTACTCCATTGTGTAAATGGACTACATTTCCTTTATCCATTCTTTGGTTGAGGGGCATCTAGGTTGCTTCCAGGTTCTGCCTATTTCAAATAATGCTCCTATGAACATAGTTGAGCAAATGTCCTTATGGTATGATTGTACATCCTTTGGGCTTATGCCCACGAGTGGTATTGCTGGGTCTTGAGGTAGTTTGATTCCCAATTTTCTGAGACACTGCCGTACTGATTTCCAAAGTGGCTGTATAAGTTTTTGCTCCCACCAGCAGTGGAGGAGTGTTCCTCTTAACTCCACATCCTCTACAGCATAAGCTGTCATCAATGTTTTTGATTTTAGCCATTCTGATTGGTGTAAGATGGAATCTCAGAGTCGTTTTGATATACATTTACCTGATGACTAGGATGTTGAGTAATTCCTTAAATGTCTTTCAGCAATTTGAGTTTCTTCTGTTAGAATTCTTTGTTTATATCTATACTCCATTTCTTAATCGGATTATTTGGTATTTTTGTGTCTAGTTTCTTGAGTTCTTTATATATTTTGGAGATCGGCTCTCTGTCAGATGTGGGGTTGGTGAAGATCTTTCCTATTCTGTAGGCTGCCATTTTGTCTTATTGACCATATCTATTGCCTTACAGAAGCTTCTCAGTTTCAGGAAGTCCCTTGATTGTTCTCAAAGCCTGTGTTGCTGCTGTTATATTTACCATGTACTCTCTGTGCCCATGCATTCAAAGCTACTCTCCACTTCTATCAGCTTCAGTGTAACTGGATTTATGTTGAGATCTTTGATCCATTTGCACCTGAGTTTTGTGCCTGAGGATAGATTGGATCTATTTGCATTCTTCTACATGTTGACATTCAGTTATGCCTGCATCATTTGTTGAAGATGCTTTCATTTTGTCATTGTACAATTTTGTCTTCTTTAATTTCTATTGAAAATAGATTTTTTCCCTGACTCAAATTTTTCTCTCCCCAACTCCCCACCCACTGAAGTGCACATTCTTTCCTCTCTTTAGGCAACTAAACAACAACAAACAAACCAGAATAGAACAAATGAAACAAACAGACAAAAATGGGCCAAAGGGGGGAAACAAAATCACAAGAAACACTTACAGATACAAAGACAGACACACTTGCACACAGAAACATCCTGTAAAAACACAAAATATAAGAAAAGATTTGTAAGGTAAAACAAAAACAAACAAACAAACACCAAAAAGACCAAGAAAAAAACTAAACAAAACAATACCCAGACAAAGAATTACCAAAAATTCCTCCAAAGATACCACTGAGAATGTTTGTGTTAACCATCTACTGCTGGGCATGGGGCCTGATCTTAAGTGTGCTTTGTATACTCAGCGAGACTTCATTGGAAAAAATAATTTTCCTTTGTGAGCAGTTGTTTATTGGAGATAGCTTCTGGGTTGGGGATGTGTCTGGGATTGTGTCCACTCAGTGTTGGGACCTCATCTAGCTTGGATCTGTGCAGTCTTGTGCATACTGGCACAGTGTCAGCGAGTTCATGTGTATGTCAGTCCTGCTGTATTTAGAAGGCCTTCATTTGATGGTGTCTTCCATCCCCACTGGCTCTTGCAATCTTTCTTCCCCCTTCTGTAGGGTTCACTGAGCCCTGTAGAAAGGGACTGGGTGGAGACATCCCATTTAGGACTGAGTACTCCAAGGTCTCTAACTATTTGTAAAATTGTGTATTTGTGGGTCTCTGTGTTTGTTCCCATCTGCTGCAGGAGGTTGTGATGATGGATGAGCAGTGCACTGATCTATGAGTACAGCAGATTGCCATTAGGAGTCAGTAGCATTTGGTCTTCTTCTGGGTCCATAGCCTCTTTATTCTCACAAGTTCTTGCCTGCCTGAACAGTGTGAGGCATGGGCTCAGTCCTATGGAGTGGGTCTTAAACGTGGTCAGACAGTGGTTCGTTACTCCTGACTTCTGAACAGTGTGAGGCATGGCTCAGTCCTATGGAGTGGGTCTTAAACGTGGTCAGACAATGGTTCGTTACTCCTGACTTCTGTGTCACTATCGTACAAGTGTATCGTGGACTGTGGATTGCAGTGTGGACTGCAGTGTTTCCTGACGGGTTGATGGTTAGCTTTCATCTCTGACAGCATGCAGAGTCCCTTCCACTAGTTAGTAAAGATGAAGGCTCCATATAGGTAGCAGTTCAACTTCTCCATTTTAATGAATTATGTGGTATTATCTTCATCAATAGGGTCTTAGTATCTTCATTAGTTGTAGAGAGCAACTAATAGCCTTGGGAAGGTAGTCTAGGTTGTGTGAGGTTTCTATGGGGGCCCTTTGACCAATAACTCAATTGCATAGTAAGCCATTCCTGGTGCTGGAGGTTTTATTTGGTGGTAAGAAATGTCTAATTCAGGATTTCTATCTCCCGTTATTTGGTGATTCCATTTAGATTCTTTCATATACATACATACATATATATGTATATATATATTATAAATATTATATATGTATTTCAAGCTTTCACTGCAGTAGATTTCTATATGAACTTTCAAGTGACTGTTAGTTTTAGTTGTCCCTACTCATATTCTCTTCATTACGCCCCATTTTCCCCTCTCTGTTTATTCTACCCATTCCACTCTCCCCCATATCCATCTATAATTATATATTAATTATATATTTCATTTCCCCTTCCTATTTCCCTTCTATCCCTGCCCCCAGTTCACTTGATACCTAACCTCTGTGGTTATACATATTGTATACAGCCTCCTTATCAAAGACTTAACAGCATCATTCACATGTAAGACAATACATATTTGTCTTTTTAGGCCTGGATTAGTTTTACTCAGGATGATTTTTTTCCTATTTCCATTCAATTACCTGCAAATTTCATGTTTTTTTTTAATCATGAAGTAATACTCCACTGTGTAAAATGTACCATGTTTTCTTGATCTGTTCATTCACTGATGTATATTTAGACTGTTTGCAGGGTAGTAATGAACATGATTGAGCAAGTCTCTCCATGATAGGATATAGAGTCGTTTGGGTATATGTCCAAGAGGGATATAGCTGGATCTTGAGGTAGATCCACTCCCAGCTTCTTCTATCTCAATTATTTTCATTGTTGCTTTCTTTTACTTTTTCTTAATCAGACCACATATGTGTATATATAATTTTAAAATCAATATGTAAAATATTCTTAAACACTTCTGGTATGTTGCTAGTTGACGTGTTTATTATATTCTAGGTATGGCGATGAATTGCATTTAAGCAATATAACTGTACTTTATTCACTTTTGGGGCCTGTCAGCTGTGACATGCTCTCTTAGTAGCCCATGGAAATGCTTTTTGCCATTGGAAAAGCTGTTAATCTTTATATTATATCAGATTTGGACTTGCACAATTAGCATTCTTCACTGTTCAACACACTTCTGTATATGAAAGACCAGAGACCATATTGTCTGTCTTCACATTATAGAGAACTCTTCCATAAGGGACCTAGTGTTATTGTCAACAGGCTCTGACACAAAAATAAAATTTTATTCTTCAAGTAAGAGCTTGCATTTGAGAATAGTTACAAAGAAAAAAGGAAATCTTTGGAGCCTTCACTTCATATGTCACTTATGATTACATTGGCAAGTGTTGATCACTTATTATTAATAATTTTGGAGAGGTGTGTGTGTACCAATGGGAACTGATAAATACATAAGAAATGTGGGTATCTTCACTACCAGGTTGTTTGCTGTGTATCTCCCTGAAATTAATAAGCATTGAAAAGATTTTATGAAAAACACACAACCACAAACTGCTAGCTTATTGAGTGTGGTTTTCTAAATGATTACTAAAATGTTCCAGAAAAAATTGAAACTGTGTGTTCCCATGATTGTAGCAGTATTTTCCAACTATACTTTTTTCTGGAGTCAGAATATGCTATTCACAGAGGTCTTACTGCATTAGTAGCTAACATCTGTTTACTTTGAAAATGTTATGCTCATTTTGATGATATTTATTTTGGACCTCTTGACAGTGCTGAGAAACTCTTGAACTCAGGTGAAGTTACTGTGAATTAGTGGGAGGCTTATGGGAAAGCCAGAGTAATGGCATCAGGTCCTGTCAAAGAAGCCACACAAAAGGGTAGACCTGCACTCACTTTCCAAAGGTTAAGAAAAAGTAGGTAGTTACTAGAATAAGATAAAAAAGGGGTGACCCTGAGGACTGTTGTGCCTGTAAAGGATCCAGGGTGTGGAAAGGGGGCAGGGAGAAACAGGCAAAAGATCGGGCCGAGAAGGCAGAGGCTGTGAGTCGTGCCAAGACTTGAAGATGTGTGAATGCTTTGTAAGAGGGTGGGGAGAACCTTACACTGAGAACGAAGAACAGAAACAAGATGAGCAGGGGATGTTGAATGAGACCACCAAGAGCAATAGGATGTTGAATGGAATCAAAAGATGCCTTTGGAACATATAATGAACATTTTTTTAGCAAATAACTGTAAGAAAATAATGAAATAAAGAGTATCAAATGAAACTTTAGCTTACTCTGAGTAATTTTATATTTCATATAAATTAGCTAATTTCTAAACTAGATTTTATTAAATTATTTATTAGACATGTAGTTATTAAAGTCAACCTTAGTGCCGTTTATAATACATTTTCCTGCTCTCTCCCTTACCAAAATGTAAAAGAAAGGACCTGGGAAAATCATACATTCTTACAGAGACAGGTAATAAGAGAAAACATACCAAGTCCTTTTCATGTGACCATTATGATCTTAAATAATTAGCTAACTTATAATACTATAGTGTTGAATAGCAAATATTTAATGATCATAAATGATTAAATTGGTAAAAAGTAAAAGGATAATATAAGAAAATTATACATGATTATATTTATAAACATAGTGGTTTGGATCCTAAGAAAATGTTTGCAAATTAGACCCAGTAATTACTAAGTAAATGCACAGTCAATCAGGCTTATAATAGGAAGACAGCCTATAGATCAACATCAGCCATTTAATTGAAATATTGAAGATGAAAAATATTATCATGGGTAGAAGAAATAGTTATTTTTCTAGCTCATGCTATAACATTAATGATAAAAACAAATAACCAAACACAGTGACAATCGTTCATAACTAATGGAAGGCTATGGCTATTTCAAACATGTTTTGTTGTAAAAAAATACAAAGGCTTTTTAATGTTAAGAATTTAGATTATGTAAAATTATTCTTGTTTTATTGGTTCACAAGGAAATCTTGGTTGTGGTGAATCAGAGAAGTGTTGGCATGCAGTTGCTGACTGGTTACTGGGAAAGCTTAGTTCTTGAAAGCTTAGTTCTGAGGACATTCAGAACAACTGAATCTTGGACTGTGCTCCTTCTGTGTCTCTTAAAACATCTTTCTTGAGTTTATCATGATTATTTTAAGCAGAGTCTGACAAAATGCATGTTTAATAATCAATCATTGTATATATTTGTCAACTTTAATTACATTATTTATCTAGTATTCTATGCGATATTATTGTATGCAATATATTGTTCCTCTCATCTAAATGTGCATATGCACTATGCTCATGTTTGATGTCCTTGCAAAACACATGAAGTCCAGCTAGAGAATTATCTTAATACTGTCACTGTAGTTATATACTGAGAATGAACAGGGTCGATGTATGTGATCTCTGAGTAAAAAAGCCAAAACACATTACATTCATGTTTGGGACAAACACCCTCACACATGAGTAACTAAATGTACACAGTCAAATAAAATATATTGTATGCTTCTTAATGTAATTACATGGAGACAGTGAAATTAAATTATCAACAAGTAACAAAGAAATGTCAGAGAATGTAACCCAAGCTGCAAAATGTAAGGTGTTATTAGACAATTAAAGAGTATCAAATATTATTGGAACATTTTAATATTGTATTTCAGTGAGCGTATATGTCATGCTCCATCAAAAGAGTCCACATGTGCTATGTGTAACCCAACGACTGAGAAACACTGAACTGGTAGACCCATCATTCCAATGGCATGGGCCAAAAGGAAAAATTGTTTCAGGTAGGATTTTATTTAAGTTATTGTAATTAAATTGATACATCTCGGATTTTCTCACACTTAAGGGAATATCTAACATATTTATCATTCAGGTATGTTTTTATTGTCTCATGGAATTGATATGGCAATGTTGATACCACAAACATTTCCTGTTGTCTTTATTAAGGATGAAGACAGTAAAAAATTCAATTGTTTCAAGAGTTCCATTTTATGTAGAAATAAATTTCTGATTTCATTATTCTTCTTTTACTTATGTACCTATTTTCTTGTGGACTGTCTATTTCATCTTTGCTCTAAATCCTGAATTTGTTAATTGACTTTACAGTTTATTATAAAACCTGTACTCATTAACAATAGATTTTTCTATACATAATAAGATATAAAACAAACATTGATTACTAAGTAGATGTTGTAACATGAGTTCTTATACTTTCTTAATTATCTGTGCCAAATACAGTGTATATATATATGTTCATACATTTATTGACACTTCTGAGTAGGAAAATTTCATTTTGAATTATTACTAAGAAATGCGTAACTTCATTGATGATGTTATATTTAAAATAATGTTAATATTTTATTATAATACTATGTTTTCTGAAATATATAGTAACCTCTTAATTTATTAATATTTTAAAAGGTAGCATATTGAGATAAATGTGTAATCTTTTATCAGAAACTATTCATGAACAAGTAGGCATTAAAACAGAAATATATTCTTTTATATTACATTTTTCAGCTTCATCCAGGATATAGAAATGGGAGATCTCAAGGCATAATTCTCTATGTAAGGTCCTTGAGGGTGGGTATATCTGTCTATTCATTTCTCTTTCAAAATATGCAGCAAGGCTTTTCATATAATAAAAAATGTCAGTGCTAACAGCATTCTGCTTTAGAACTATTTCTAAAGATATATAAGTATTAAATCATTTACTTAACATGGAAAAGGATATGTAGTAATTTCCTGAGATAATGCTTTCAATTCTAATGAATGGAGTATTCAATTCTTAATTAAGAAAATGTTAGTATCTGAAAGTTTTATGACACAAACTTAGTGATGAGCTTTCAGAATAACAACCTGTCTATTTAACCTGTCTATTTAATAATTTATTATTTTTATTGAATTGAATAACCATATGAGTTAGGCAGCTATGCCTTGTCATTATTCACTGAACAAATGAACTGGGCTTCAGAAGATGAAGTGGTTACCCATGGTTGTATAGTTTGTGAGAGAGAAAGGAGCCTTCACATCTGTATCTTAATACTCAAGAATAGGGTTACCCTCCATTTGACAGCATAGCTTTCTTCCAGTATAATACTTCTGCTAAAGCAAAAAGGGAGCTTACATCCCATCCTTTTTCCTAACACAGCAACACTGTAATTGATTGACAAGCCTGAGAATCTAATTTTCCATTTGCTTCTTCTGTAATCCTTAGTGCTAGAAACCATTGTGTGTAGTGATAAGAACTATTGGCCATTAATGGTTACACTGTAATTGACTTTGTTTTGGGCACACCATTTCATGTGCAGATTGGGAGATTCTATGACTCACTCTTAAACCATATAGACAATATTTAGGGTATAATTAGATAAATACACTATATAAAATATATACTTTGTATATACATGTTGCTTACTATATATGCTTACTTGCACTGCATATATGTGTGTATAAATTTTCATAAACAGTACTGTATTTCTTATAGAGTACCAGGCTTTTTCTTTTGGGCAACCAACCAGCTCCCAAGTTATGACATGGCGACTCCTTATTAGTTATGAATGCTCAGCCTAGCTTAGGCTCATTTCTGGCTAGCTCTTTTAATTTAACCTGTTATTTACCTTTTGTCTGGGGTGTTTTTACTTTTGTACGTCTTATTTTCACTGCCTCTGGGGTGTTGCTGGCAGGTGGCTACCTGGCTCCTTGCCCTGGACCTCTCCCTGTCTCTCTCCTCATTCTCTCCTCCTCCTCTCTTCTCTTTCTTTTTGAGTCTAGAGTTCTTCTACTAATTCTCTTTGCCTGTCATCCCAACCTCTCCTTTCTTCTGCCTAGCTCTTGGCTATTCAGCTCAAGGTGAGAGAAGTGCAGTCCATCTTTACATCGTTAAACAAATGTAGCACAAATAAATGGAACACACCTTTACACAGTTATGTGATACTCTTCAGCATAAAAAAATGAACATACCTTTACACAGTTATGTGATACTCTTCAGCATAAACAAAGGAACACGCCTTTACACAGTTAAGTGATACTCTTCAGCATAAACAAATGGAACACACCTTTACACAGTTAAGTGATACTCTTCAGCATAAACAAATGAACACACCTTTACACAGTTATGTGATACTCTTCAGCATAAACAAATGAACACACCTTTACACAGTTAAGTGATAGTCTTCAGCATAAACAAATGGAACACACCTTTACACAGTTAAGTGATACTCTTCAGCATAAACAAATGAACATACCTTTACACAGTTAAGTGATACTCTTCAGCATAAACAAATGAACACACCTTTACACAGTTATGTGATACTCTTCAGCATAAACAAATGAACACACCTTTACATAGTTAAAGTGATACTCTTCAGCATAAACAAATGGAACACACCTTTACACAGTTAAGTGATACTCTTCAGCATAAACAAATGAACATACCTTTACACAGTTAAGTGATACTCTTCAGCATAAACAAATGAACATACCTTTACACAGTTAAGTGATACTCTTCAGCATAAACAAATGGAACACACCTTTACACAGTTACGTGATACTCTTCAGCATAAACAAATGGAACACACCTTTACACAGTTAAGTGATACTCTTCAGCATAAACAAATGAACATACCTTTACACAGTTAAGTGATACTCTTCAGCATAAACAAATGAACACACCTTTGCACAGTTAAGTGATACTCTTCAGCATAAACAAATGAACACAACTTTACATAGTTAAAGTGATACTCTTCAGCATAAACAAAAGGAACACACCTTTACACAGTTAAGTGATACTCTTCAGCATAAACAAATGAACACACCTTTACACAGTTATGTGATACTCTTCAGCATAAACAAATGAACACACCTTTACACAGTTAAGTGATAGTCTTCAGCATAAACAAATGGAACATACTTTTACACAGTTAAGTGATACTCTTCAGCATAAACAAATGAACATACCTTTACACAGCTAAGTGATACTCTTCAGCATAAACAAATGAACATACCTTTACACAGCTAAGTGATACTCTTCAGCATAAACAAATGAACACAACTTTACATAGTTAAAGTGATACTCTTCAGCATAAACAAAAGGAACACACCTTTACACAGTTAAGTGATACTCTTTAGAATAAACAAATGGAACACATCTTTGCCTAGTACATTCCACAACAAGATAGCATCTCTTTCAATGCAAGGAGAATACTAGGAGTGCTTTATGTCCATATGTCATTCTTAGTTTCTGACCACTTAGACCAGTGGTCCTCAGCCTTCCTAATGTGTGACCCTTTAATACAGTTCCTCATGCTTTGGTGACCCCTTCCAATCATAAAGTTATTTTAATTGCTAGTTCCTAAGTGTAATTTTGCTACTGTTAAAAATTGTAAATATCTGATATACAGGATATCTGATATGTGACCTCTGTGAAAGAGTCATTTGATCCCACAAGGGGTCGCAGCCCACAGATTGAGAACCCCTGACTTACACAGTCCCACAGTTGATGAACTCTGGTTGGTGGAAGCTTGATTTTAAGGTCTTCCTAGCATCTACTGATAGTAAGCATCAAATACAGTTATTAACTTTGTGTAACTACTTTTTGTGGCCATAAATTTTGAGGAATTTTAGGTTGCTTTAAGTGTTTAGCATTTTGTCTCCCTGTTTGATTTAAGTAGCTGTGTATTATACCTTTATTAGAAAACACCACCGCACAAGTGACGTCCACAGGAAGCCTTGTATTTCAGAACTTTGAGGAAACCATGAGTGGAGTTTATACTTGTTTCCTTGAGTACAAACCAACTGTGGAAGAAACTGTTAAAAATCTTCAACTGAAATATGTTATTTATGGTAAGAAGCAAATTTAATTATGTCTTAACATATCTCAGTGTTTTAAAATGCTTAAACATTTAACAAGTTTGTTATTTTTCTATACTTTTATTATTTGAAAATTTTAAATTTAAATATTTTGATCATAATCTTGACCTCTCCCAAATCCTTCCAGATCCTCTCCCCTGTCCTCCCCACTCAACATTAAGTTCTTTCTCAAAAAACCAAAATAACCAATACCAACAGTAGAACCTCACCCCAGACAAGAAAACAAAATAAAGCACCACCTCCAAAACCAAACCAAACCAAACCCCTCCTAACTATAACCAAATAAACACACACACACACACACACACACACACACACACACACCAAACAAAACACCACTAAAACAAAACAAAAAAACACCCCAAGAACCCTGTATAGTTCAACTATTTCTGAATATAATGCCTGCCCTGGAGTGGTTGAAATACCCAGTGTTATTCCATTGGAAATGATTCATTTTTCCTTTCCCAGTAAGTATAAATGATAGTTAAGTAGTTAGCCTTTAGTGGCTAGGTTCCCTCCCTCCTCCTTCCCTCCATCCCTCATTTCTCTTTTCATTAATTCATTTAAAAATAACAACAAAATATATGATAAACAAAATCTATCACATCAAAGTTGGAAAAGCGTAGGCATTTCGGATAGATTGGGTAGAACAGGTATCCTGGAGCTCGGGAGCCAAGGGCTACCACAGGCCACAGTAAGCCTAGCAGCTTACAGCCCTGCTTCAGGGAAAGGCTTCCCCAGTGTATCGGCTCTGCTCCGGCAGGAGAGGGAGGGTCTTCCAGCTGGGGATGTTTGCCCAGTGTAGCAGTTTTGCTTGGCAGGAGAAAGTTTCCCGGGTGAAGCTGGTACAGTTCAGCTCTGCTCCCGGAGAGTAGAGAGCAGAGTGTAATACTCACTCTGCCAGGGGGAAGGTTTCCCCGGCAAAAGTGTTACAGCCCTGCTCACTCTGCTCTGCCCAGGGTCGCCTCTGCTCCCCCGCAAAAGATCTTCTCCCAAAGCTCATCCTAGGGGTTTATTGGGAGGGACGAATCCAGGAGAGTGGGTGTCCTCTGCCAGAGGACAGCCGGGTAGTACAAGCAGCCACAAAGTGAACAGACTCAGGGTTTATATAGGGATTCCAGGGTGGGGATTGGTCAGATTTTAATCTCCTGGTCAAGGATTGACTCTGGTTTCAGGGCCAACGTGTCTTTCTTTCTCTGGTCCTTTTTAGCCTCTTGGCTCTAATTTTAGGGCCAGGGTGCATTTCTTTCACTGACTCTGATTCCAGGTATAAAGTGTGTTTCTTTGGCACTGGTTTCAGGGTCAGGGTACATTTCTTTGGTTCTGGTTGCAGGGCCAAAGTGTGTTTCTTTGGCTCTGCTCAGGGTGTATTTCTTTGGCTGGACCTTTCCCCCTATATAAAGAGCACAAGAGAAGGCACGAGAATCGGAGACCCAGTTGTTCACACTCTTAGGAGTCTCATCAAAATACTAAACCGGAAGCCATAATGTAAGCACTGAGGACCTGGTGCAGACCGTACAGACCTTATTCAAGCTGCTCCAGTCTCTGCTGGTACAGACTGTAGAGACCTTGTGCATGCTGCTTCAGCCTCTGTGAGTCCCTATGGGCTTTGCTCCCATTGGTTTAGAGGGCCTTGTTTTCTTGGTGTCTTCCATAGCCCTGGTTTCACACCCCTCCTGACTTTTCTTCCTCAAGGTTCCCCGAGCTCCCAAGAGAGGGATTTGATGGAGACATCCCATTTAGGGCTGAGTGTTCCAAATTCTCTCTACTCTCTGTGTGATGGTCTGTGAGCTCTGTGTTTGTTCCCATCTGCTGCAGGAGGAAGCTTCTCTGATGATGGCTGAGCAATGAGTGTAGCAGAATAGCATTAAAAATCATTTTATCACTACATTTTTCTTTCTCCCTCCCTCCCTCCCTCCCTCCCTCCCTCCCTCCCTCCCTCTCTCTGTTCCTTCCTTTTCCTCCCCCCATTCTCTCCCTTTCTTCCTTTCACAGAATTATTTGCTTTTGCCCTGGGTTCGTGGGCTATTTAGTCTCAGGTGGGCTGGTTCCCATTTTCTGGAGTGGGTCTTAAGTCAGGTCAGGTATTGGTTGGCTACTCCCATAAACTTTGAGTCGTCATTGCCCTAGCTTATCTTGCAGGTAGTACACCATTGTAGATAAAGCATCTGTGGCTGGCTTGGTGTTTATCTTTGTCTTTGGAGGGCATGCAGAGCTCTTTCCTGTACCATAGATGCTGTAATGTGTGGGTGAAAGCTATATATAGGCACTGTCTTGACATCACCATGTTCAAAGATTTGTTTAGGTGTTGTCTTCAGTACTGGGGTCTTGCTGTCTGTGGAGAGCAACCTATATAGTCTTTGAAAAAACCTAGGTTTTATGGGTATTCCTATGGGGTCCCCTTCAGCCAACAACTTAATTAGATGTAACCCAGTGCCAGTACAGGAAGCTTCATTTTGAGACAAGAGATGACCAGGTGGGACGCTGTCTCCCCATTATTTGGTGATTTCATGTAGATTGCTATCATATATATAGAGATATATACATATATGTATGTATGTATTAGGACATTTGTACTGGATTAGCTTTCCATGTTTCCCCTCAGATGTCCCTTAGTTTTAGCTGTCTCTCTGCGTATCCTCTCTACCTTCCTACTTGATCTTCTCATTCCAGCACCACTTTCCATCCATATCTATCTTATTTCCCTTTCCTAACAAGATCCGTTCCCTCTAGTCCCTTTTTCTATCCTCTGTGATTCTATAGACTATAGATTGTAGCTTGGTTATCATTTTCTTAACAGCTAATATCTACATATAAGTGAATACATAACATATTTGTCTTTCTGGGTCTGGGATACCTCACTTAGGATAATTTATTTCTAGTTCCATCCATTAGCCTAAAAATTTCATGATGTCATTTTTAATGGCTAAGTAATACTCCATTATGTTAGTGTACTACATTTTCTTTATCTAGTCTCTTGTTGAGGGTTATCTAGGTGTTTCTAATTTTTTCTTTTAGGAATTTAGGAGGGAAGTTTTTTAAAAAACAATAAGTTTATATTTTTGACAAGATTTTTTTGTTTTATTTTATTTTATTATTTTAATTTTAAATAGCTTGCTTAACATGCCAATCCCAGTTCCCTCTCCCTCCCCTCCTACTGCACCCCCTACCATCCTCCCCAGCCTCCCACCATATCGCCACTTCCTTCCACATAGGGGATATCTAGAGTCTATCATTTCACTCAGGGAAGGGTCCAGGCACTCCCCTAAGAGTCCAGGCTGAGAGAGCATCCCTCTTTGTGTTATGGACACATGATGTCTGTTTGTATGCCAGGGATAAACACTGATCCACTGCTCAGGGCCCCATAGGTTGCCCGGGCTTCCTCACTGACTCTCACTCTCAGGGGGTCTGGATCAGTCCCATGTTGGCTTCCCAGCTGTCAGTCTGGGGTCCAAGAGCTGTCCACTGTTCAGATCAGCTGTCTCTGCTGGTTTTGCCAGCCCATACTTTGCCAATTTGCTCTTCGCTCCTCTCTCTCTGTCACTGGGTTCCATGGGTTCAGTTCAGTGTTTAACTGTGGGTGTTTGCCTCTGCTTCCATCAGTCACTGGATGAAGGCTCCAGGATGGTTATAGACATCAAGTTCATTATCAGGAATGGGCATTCGAGGTGGTCTCTCCACTATTGCTTAGCTTGCCAATTGGTGTCATCCCTTTAGATCACTAGAGGTCACTCTGGTGCCTGATCTGTATTCGATCCTATGATTCCCTCTTCCCCCTATTCTACCCTCACCCACTCAAGTTCCTGTTCCCCCATGACCTACTCTCTCTTCCTCTTCTCCCCCCTCTCTTCTTCCCAGCTCCCACTCCCCCCCCGACCCCTCGCCGTGTTCCCCATCAATTCAGAGGATCTTGTCTCAATCCTCTTCTCTTGGGTACTATGCATATATGCATATCTTTTAGGTTCTTTCCTGTTTCCCAAACTCTCTATCAGTGGAAGTGCAGACTGGCACTATCCTGATCCATGTCTAAAATCCATATATGAGTGAGTACATACCATGTTTGTCTTTTTGCGACTGGGTTACCTCACTCAGGATGGTTTCTTCCAGTGCTATCCATTTACCTGCGAATTTCTAGATTCCATTGTTTTTTTTTTTTTTTTTTTGCTGAGTAATACTCCATTGTGTAAATGTACCACATTTTCTCTATCCACTCTTCAGTTGAGGGGCATCTAGGTTCTGGCTATTACAAATAATGTGCTATGAACATAGTGGAGCAGATGCCCTTGTTGTATGAATTTGCATCTTTTGGATATATGCCTAAGAGTGGAATTGCTGGGTCTTGTGGTAGATTAATTCCCATTTTCCTGAGGAAACTCCATACTGATTTCCAAAGAGGCTGTACGAGTTGGCACTCCCACCAGCAGTGGAGGAGTGTTCCCCTCTCTCCACATCCTCTCCAGCATAAATTGTCTTCAGTGTTTTTGATTTTAGCCATTCTGACAGGAGTAAGATGGTATCTCAGAGTTGTTTTGATTTGCATTTCCCTGATGGCTAAGGATGTTGAGCACTTTCTTAAGTGTCTCTTGGCCATTTTAGCCTCCTCTATTGAGAATTCTCTATTTGGTTCTGTACCCCAACTTTTAATTGGATCCTTTGGTGTTTTGGAGACTTGCTTCTTGAGTTCTTTGTAAATTTTGGAGATTAGCCCTCTGTCAGATGTAGGGTTAGTGAATATCTTTTCCCATTCTGTGGACTGCTTTTTTGTCTTGTTGACTGTGCCCTTTGCCTTACAGAAGCTTCTTAGTTTCAGGAGGTCCCATTTGTTAATTGTCGATTTCAGTGTTTGTGCCACTGGTGTTATGTTTAGGAAGTGGTCTCCTGTACCAACTCATTGAAGAGTATCTCCTACTTTCTCTTCTAAAAGTTTCAGTGTGGCTGGATTTATGTTGAGATCTTTGATTCATTTGGACTTAATGTTTTCTGTTATTATTTTAGTTGTAACGTTCACTGTTGGTATGGTTATTATTTCTAAGTAATCTATATCTATTCTAATTTAATTTTTAACTCATTTGTGCAATCCTCCTGATTCAGTTTCATGAATGCTGGAAATACAGGTATGTAGCACTGCACCTGTCTGCTACTTTCCTTATTTTCCTTCCATTTGCCTTATAGCTAATCATGTTTTATGGATTACGTTTTAATCATTATATGTAAGTTTTAAATTTATTTTAATGCCTCCTATAGCAGTCCTTCTAAAAAATTAAAAATACTGATTTGCATTTTCTTGATGTTAGGGTCTTGGTAGTCTTTGGCTTTCATATGTGTTAAATGAAACTAGTATGTTTCCTTGGTAAGTAAAAGCTGCCTTTCTCGGTACTAAGTCTGACAGTAGTAAATGTGCTTAGCTTTAAGTATATGTAGGAAATGGACAGTGGTAAGGGACATCAGTATGAGTTGGGGACTCTTGATCAAACTGTGACCCGGAAACAGGCCAGGAGGGAGCCTGTGGTTGGCAGAAGCAGCAAAAGAGCTCGTGTCTCACAGATGACCTTTTTATGTTTTTATTATTAGGGATTTTTTTCAGTTTTAGAGTTATTGTATCTTTCCAGTAAGATTTTGAGATTTGCTTTAAATATGTATGTCTTCAATTCCAGATATAATACTGGAATTAAGTAAAACAAACTATATTTATTAGAAATATATTTTTAAAGTATTATTGCTAATTTGATCTCTGGAATTGCTTCTAAGATTTAATATTTTAAAACAGAGCAGTGTGATTTCTTCTATAATATAAGATTTCAAGGTATGATGTCGTCATTCGAGAGCAGTGTAGTGAGACCAGCCTTCCTGGGTTTGAATCTTTGCCTTGATAGCATTGGCAGTACACACGTGACTAGATTATTGTATCTTGATTTCCTTGTTCTAGATACAATAATAATAAGGTGAATCTTAAATGATGGTGAGGGTTAAATGAGTCACTGTTTTAGAAACCCTGTGATAACATTTAATACCTAGTTACTGTGAGGTAGGTGTTTGTTGAGGAAGGTAAAATGTAGCTGTTTATGGAAATGAATATAAATTTGTTTCAAATAATTATTTATTTAAAATAGTCACAATGTATTTGGATTCTTGAGTGATCATGTTTTTGTCTTTCAATCTTTGTAGCTTATCGTGAACCTCATTTTTATTACCAGTTCACAGCACGATATCACGCAGCTCCCTGCAATAGTATCTATAACATTTCTTTTGAGAAGAAACTTCTTCAGATTTTAAGTAAGCTGGTTCTTGACCTTTCCTGTGAAATTTCCTTGCTTAAGTCCGAATGCCATCATGTTAAAATGCAAAGAGCTGGTTTGCAAAATGAATTATTCTTCACATTTTCAGGTAAATATACAAAATACTTTTAAGAAAGACAATTTGGGGACACTACCAACTGTTTAGAATATGAATGGTACAGATCTAAATTATTGTTTTCCTTTTGGCTTAACCCTGATAACCCTCCCAGTAGGATCCAGCTGATTCAAGCCCTCAGTGAAAAGTGACACTTTACTATCTCATGGAAGTGTGAGAAGGACCCATGATATTTAGTTATAGTGATCAGCTAGTGGGAGCTTTTGCTTATAAGGTGGTTAACCCTGTAAAGCAGACACCTCCTCTCATTTAACGTGTTGTCATTAATGCTGGAGTGAGGAGGTGCCTGGCCTCAGGAGTGAACATCCGTGCATTTATGCGATGTCCTCCTTCTCCTTCACCTGTCTTCCTCCTTTTTTTGTCATGTAGGATTTAATTTTGGCAGAGAGAGTAGAGAGGCATGAAACTTCAAAGGCAAGAGCAGGATAAACTCTTATCTTCTGTAATTGCTGCTTTTCCCTTCTCCAGGGAAATTTCAATAGTTTTCACCAACCTTAAGGCAGATGAATAGCCTAAGCTTTGCTATAGCCTGTCAAGGACACACTATTAGAATACAGAGGCTTTGTGAATCTTTGTTTTCTGGTTGTTTTAATAGATGGACAGGCCGTTAGAAAACTCACATTCGAGATTACCATAGAGCCGAGATGACCTCCAGTATAAAATGTGTTGTGACCCAGCTTTGCGCTTCTTCAAATGACTAATGTCTTTGAGTATTTTTTTAATGTGTTAAGTGGTCATCCATTCATCTCTTTGGAAAATTGTTAACTCAGATTCTTTTTTACCTTTTAGATTATAGGAATTTTTTTCTTTCTTTTTGTAAGGCGGTCATTGAGGGCTGTCACCTTTTAGTTCATTTTTTTCTGTTTATATTAAAATGCATTTTTAGCTAATTTTGTAATATTGAGTTCTGGGTTTGACTATGTCTTTGATATGTGGAAGTTTATGAAATCATAAAGAACAATGAAATCATCATTTTATGGAAAATTGTTATAACTGATCATCATCATATTAAGAAAAACCAACCACAGATCTTTTCTATTATGGTACATTTTGTTATTTTATAGTTGTCATTGTTCAGTTATTCTTATTTATATACCTTGATCTTCAAACTTTGATGTTGTGACTTATATTTGATCTATTGATCAGGTGTTCCATTGTTTTTTTTTTTAATTTGACCCACTGAACTTTTTTAATTATCAAAGTTTCAACTTTCCTTCTCTATTTCTATTTTTTTAATTAAAATCCCCATTTATAGCCTGCATAAGTTTAGTTATTTAGCTGTCTGTATTCTCACTGAATTCATTTGGTTCACTGGTGACTTTTTTTTAACATTGTTAGAATAGTTCTTGAGAATTCTTTGGCCATTTCCTCAAATTCTCTCACTTTAATCTATTGCCATAGAAGTAAAAGTGTTCAGAGGAGTCATGTTGCCATGGTTTCCATGATGCTTGTGTTTCTGTATAGAACTTGTACATTACTAGATTCAATTTTTGTGCTGATTTTGTCTCTCATATCTCATGTATTCTTTCATTTCAAGTATTTTCAGTGTTTGGGTCAGGGGGTCTAAACTGTATGTAGTTAGTTTGATCTATTATTTGTCCCTACTGTTCTCAGAGTAAAACAGCTGAAATCTCAGCTCCTGCTCAGGGCACTTGGGATACCGTCTGTGAAAGCAGCCACAACTGCTAGATATGCCAGCTATGAAAATAGAACAATTAAATACAACCACTCCTTCAACTGCAGTTACTTTAGAGGAGTAGGGAAGAAGGCATAATACTAGTACTAAGGGTAGAAAGTACTAATGATTAGTGCTAGAGCAATAGATGAAGAGGAGAAGAGGGAAAGTAAGTAAAAGGAAGGAACAGTAAAAACGAAGAGGGGATTTAGTAGCTCCAACTAAAGGAGATAGGTGAAAAAATGTAATCTGTCAACCTAAAACAGTCCCAGAGCTGGGGCATGCAGGCTGTGAGCTCTGAGACAGCCAGTGTCCTTAGGAAAGTTAAAAGAGAAGAGCAGAGAGGGCATGTTATGGTAGAGCTGAGCTGAAATTGGCTATTATGTAAGGTAAATGTAAAGAGAACACCTGGGGGAGGTGCAGTCTGTGTGTGGTTTTGTACCTGGCAGTAGAGGCCAGGCTTGAGTCTGCAGCCTCTTCTAGAGTAGGGCACAGGGCAGCTGTGGTCTCATGGGGCTGGGGTGTGGATGCCAAGCCTGCATCCACACCTGCCAAGGTGAAGTACTCAGTGGGCATGGGGTTGGGACCTGGGTAGCTGAGATATAAAACCTGCTTCCAAGTAGTCTTCCATGGGGTGGGGGAGGGGGCAGATCATGGTTGTTGGTTCTGCCTGTATGCAGTCTCTCAAAGGAACAGCATTGAGTCCCAGGTCTGTCTCTACATGGTCTACTTTGGTCTATGTCTGAGACCAGATAGCCACCTCATGGAACACTGAATACATTCTAACTGAAAACCACAAAGCTTTTCTCTGTTTAGAAGTATTCTGAAGGCCAGGCCTCAGACTAACGTCCTGTGACACATTTACTCTTGATTGCCAGCATGAACCTTGCAGTGTGGCCCCTTTGCCTGTAGAGCTGCTTAGCCACTGAGTCTACAGCGTCCTTTCAAAGTGCCTTTTTGTCATCTGGTGGATTTCACCAGTACTTATCCTCCTCAGTTGTGCAGCTCTGATGACTTGCCTTGTCACTATTCCCTTTCCTCCCCTGCCCACCTTTCTCTAAATAACATGTTCATTGGGATATGGTGACTCTTCTCTGAGGGCTCTGTCTGGAGGGAGTCACTGCTCTGATACCACAGCTGCACTCTATGTTAGCAATGCACTCTGCCTTTGCTCTGAAGCATCGGGAATTGACCCCAGACTCAACTGTCTGTTTCCTTTCTTTGCTGCTGAAAAGAATGCTTTCCGTGAGCCCTCACTCTGTAGGAGCCCTCACTTAGTTGTTGTCCAATGACTAAGGGCTGTGCTGCAGCTACTGTGTGGGTCCTGCCTGGATGCAGCCGCCATCTTTAGTTATCTTGTTGTTCAGTTTATTGCACTAGCTATAGTCCTAGAATCTTGATGGATGGGAAGAGGGAATGCTTTTGCCTTGTTCCTGTGAGAAACCATCTGGATTTTCCCTCTTAAGTATGGTGGTGACTGCAGTTTGTTGCAGATGTTCTTTATCTAGCTGAAGAAATTTGCCTTGTCCTGAGTTAGCAATGTTTAACAAGAATTGAGTTGTGTTCACACAACGCTCTTCATCTCCCTTTGCCTATTGGTGTGCTCTGATGGTGGTTTCTCCTTAGTGGTGTGCTCTGATGGTGGTTTCTCTTTACAGTGTCAGGTGGAGCCTGCTGCAAATCCTATTTGATTATGCCATATTGTTCTTTTGATATATTTGTTGGATTTGATTTCATATTGTTGAGAGTTTTTTTGTATTTATATTCATAAGGGCTATTGGTCTGAAGTTTTCCTCTCTTGTGATTTATTTTTCTGAGTTTTGTATCAGGGTAAATATTTCATTGTGAGATATTATTAGGTAGATAATCCCTAATGCATTGCCTTATTCTGGAGCAAATGCGTCTATATTTGGGTATGTATTATAAGCATTGGTAAACTTTTTTATTTATGAGCTTTCCTCTTTGACATCCATACATGCATATATTGTGGTTACTCTTCCCCAACCCTTCCTTATTGCCTTCTCATCTATGCCAGCCACTATTATTCCTTATGGATTTCTTTTCCAATCCCTTACTTTTTGCTTTGTGACTCAGAGTTTAACTAGGGCTATCTGTGTGATCCTGGGGTTGGAGCTAATTTTGATGGGCTCACTAGTAGCCATACAACTAGAAACTACACTTCTCACCTGTGGGAATTCATTGTAACGGTAACGGTAAGGCCATCTGAGCGCTTTCTCAATCCATAGTTGACTGTTAGAAGAGCGTCACTTGTGTGGACCTAGTGCCTATATATACGACTGAACTAAGGTCTTCTAGAAGAGCAACAATTGCTCTCAACCTCTGAGTCATCTCTCCAGCCACCAATTCACCATCTCTATGATATCTACTCTAACTCGGTATATTATTTCTTCTCCTTTTTTTTTAACTGAAATTGCTTTTAGTTTGCCCAGTTTCCAATACTTAAGCTTCTGTTGAAATCAATCTTTCTTTTATCTAAAAATGTACTTATTGTTATTATTGTGTGCCAGTATATTTGTATCATATGTACCACAGTGTGCACATACAGGCTGGAAGATCCTTTGTGTGTGTGTGGGGGGGTATTGCTACTCTCCTACATCTATGCAGCTCCTGGGAACAAACTCAGGTCTTGGGTTGCTTTCTTTACCTACTGAGCCATTTGCTACCCCCATGTCTTTCTCATATTTGTTCTCCATGTTATAAATAACCTACATTTTTACTATATATTTCTCTTTATTTTTCACTTCATATCACAGATTTTGCTTGTTTTTGTTTTTGAGACAGGGTTTCTCTGTGAAACAGTCCTGGCTATCCTGGAACTCACTCTGTAGACCAAGCTGGTCTGGAATTTACAGAGATTATCTTGCCTCTGCCTCCCAAATGCTGGGATTAATGGTGTGTACCACCACCACTACCTGGCTAATTCATTTTACTTTTATTAACTTAAAAGTATTTACTTTTTTTGATACTTTATATATTATGTATTCTCCATTGCCCAAGTATTTGAGGATTTTCAATGTATTTTTTCTGCTACTGATTTATAGCTTAATATTTTTTTTTGGTTTGGATGCATAAACTGCATGATTTTTAGTCTTTAACATTTCATGCTGCTTTTTATGGCTCAAATGGGGTAGGTTCATTGTCAAATTTCATGTGAGTTTGAGAATAACATATGTTCTGCATTGCTATATGAAAATGTCTCTAAGTATCATTTGTTCAGTTAATGAACGATGCTCTGTGGGTTAGTTATAGTCTAGTTGTGTTCTGGTTTCTTTGTTTTTCAGTTACTGATATGGAGGAATATTGAGGATAATATTAGATTTTTCTATATTCCTTATACTTCTATCAGTTTTTTTCAAATGTGTGTGTGTGCGCGCGTGTGTGTGTGCGTGTGTGTGTGTGTGTGTGCGTGTGTGTGTGTGCGCGTGCGTGTGTGTGTTCTACTTTATGTGTACATGTGGAGGAGGTCAGAGGTTGACCTTAGGTGTCATCCTCGTGTGCGTGTGTGTGCGTTCTACTTTATGTGTACATGTGGAGGAGGTCAGAGGTTGACCTTAGGTGTCATCCTCTGTTACAGCCACTTTGTGATGTGGATCTCTCTCTGCCAGTGTACTTTGCTGTCTTCACTGGTCGGAATGGCCAGGACTGCCTTTCTCTGCACATCAGTGCTGGGGTTGCAGATGCACATCACCACCGCAGCCCACACTGCTGTCACCTGAGTGCTGGGGGTCTGACCTTGGGTCTTCACATTATCGTTGTCAAACACCTTTACTCACTGTTGTTGAAGACATGGCAGGGATTCTTAAATGTTTGTAAGGACTGATATATATATATATATATATATTTATATATGTATGTATCTATAATGTATATGTAGATGCATATTCATTCATTGGAATCGGGAATAAGACTTTTCTTTATTCTGATTTCTGTTTTGTATGAAAGAAGCATTGCTTTTCCAGCTTCTTTTGTGTTTGCATAATGCCAGTGTGCTCTTCTCCATCTTTTCCTTGTACTCTTTGTGTATCCTTATGTTTAAGGTAGGTCTCTATGGAAAACTTACATTCTGACCTTAAATAATCAAATGATAAGTCCTGCTCTTATTTAGTATCGTATAATCCTTTTATGTAACACATTATTTGCTCTTGATCCTTTCTGGACGATCTTTCTCTTTCATTTACAATGTTTGGTTATAGAATATTTCACAGTATAAACATACGCTACATCTGCTTGTGTGTGAAAATTTGTGTCCTGTTAGGTTTGAGGCCATTTGGCCATTATTTACTCAAATCTTTCATCTCTCCTTCTGTCACTCACATCTTATGTGTATGGTGGTCTACTTGTCCCAAAATTCTTCATGCATTTTGCACTTTTGTTCTCTGAGTGTTCTTTTCATTTGATCATATTTCAGTGACTTATCTTTAAGTTCTCTGTTTCTCCAGACTTCTCAAATACGTTGTTACCTATTTTTAGTAAATTTCTCTCAGCTATAATTCCATGCCTTAGAGTTATTAGAGACTTTTTATAATTTATTTTATGTTATTAATATTCTTGTCATGGTAACATGTACTGTTTTCTTTAGTTATTTGCCCATTATTTCCTTCAGCTCTTTAAGCACATTAAAAATTGTTCTCAAAGTCTAGTGTCTATGCTGTTTCAGGTAATCTGTCTCACTTCTCAGGGACATTAGACTTAATAAATACATGGGCAATTAAATAGCTCTATGGAAAATTATTTCTATTTGAATATTGTTGGAAAATGAACCAGTTAAGATCATGCATACAGATGACATAGGATTTATTAGAAAATAATCTGGAATGCCTAAAGCGGTATAAGTAGTATTAATGGAAAATGATCAAAATTAATATTGACTATTTTATAAATAATTTTAATTGGAAAACTGAAGTACAGTTTTCATACCTGTAAATAATGACAAAGCTAAGCCTTTTTGTAGCATATAAGGTGAAAGTCTTAATATACTAAATACTGTTCCTGAATTAGTTATAGGTCTGAGGTTTCAAGTAAGAGTTTTTCTCATATATTTTTATTGGTACTGGGAATTAACAAAGATATTAGGATATGAGATTGACATTATACCCTGTAAGGATTAGCTATTGGAAATCCTGGTAGTGCCTGTTTCTCACCCTTGCTTTGAGACTGAAATCTTAGTACAGCAGGACACTCATCAATCAGTTCAATATTGCTTTGTCCATTGACTTTTCCTGTTTTTCACTTATTTATCTCAATTGGTCTGTATTTTGCAGATATTTGCTCCTGTATGTGTATAAATAAATATGTGCCTATATGCATGACCATGCTTACTGTATTGGTTAAAATAGCCACAACTATAGTCTAATTGCATTTCCAGTATTATTATTATAGTTTATCTTTCCTTTTTAGTTTGTACCTACATATTAAGCATCGAATTAGGGTAGTGGTACTCAATACATATGAATAGAAGTTGATAGAGGATGAAAACTATATACAAAGTTATAATGCTTATGTTGCAAAAGTTGAAACAATTTTGTTCTTAAATACTATAAAATCAAAACATCCCAGCAGCAGTTACTGAGAAACTTAATTCCTAAGATTATTGTAGAAATGAGGTTTCCCTGATTTATATAAAAGCAAATATTTGGCTTAGGATTTTGCTGAGACACTGAGTATTACAAAAATTCAGACTTTTTATTGGAAGAGATGTAGTTGACAAGTGATATTTCATTTTTCAAAATTTAAGTATCTTGGTATAGTGTATCATAACAAATATAAAATATAATATATTTTCTCAGTTTCATCTATAGACACTGAAAAAGGATCCAAGCCATGTACAGACCATAATTGTGAAACTTCCAAAAGATTATCTAAGGTATGTTATGTGCTGGTGGAAATGAAGAAAAAAAATGATTGAAAATGCCCAGTGTTTAAGGATTCATCATAGTCTTTGTGTTAGCCATTTGTAAGATACACAAATTCCTACAGTGAGGGATTTCAACAATGAATTAAAACTTCATCCACTACAAAATAAGAAATCAATATAATTGAAACTTGACAAACTACTTTAAATTTAATATTGTGTAATTGGTTATATAAATAGTGAATTTTCATTTATTTGGCCTTATTCCATATGGTTAATTAATTTATGTTAAGGAGAAATCATGGCTGTCATTTTTCCAGGTGTTTCAGTTTCCATAGATGTTTGCATATTAGCCTTATCCACTTGCTGTGACTGTCAACTCATGGATACCTTTGTGCAGCTGTCATGTCATCCACAGTGTTACATCTTTCCCTCAGTCTCTACTCACTTATCTTGTCTAATCTGAGTGGCCAGAGTCGGTGCAAAAATGAATAGATGTGATGCGACTGGAGCTGTCTTGTCCCTGCACTTAGGGCATTTCGTTTTCAGCAGTCAAGTCTGATGGAGCTGTACATCATTTTCCCTTTAGTGGGATGATGTTCTCTTTTGCTCTTCATTGACTGGGTTGTACTATGAATGACTGTTAATATTGACTAGTATATTTTCTTTTCCTTTTTTTTTAGAAGACACATCAGTATTATATTTGTCTTATTTTCTGGCTTTTTTCTGGCTTTTTTTTCCGTCATGCAATGTGTACTATAGAATTTGTGGTCACATTTTAAAACTGGTAGTAAAATTCAGCATTAATTCTTTGAGTATTTTAGTGTAAAACTATGGATGTAATTATAGCCGAAAGTTTAGTTTTACAAGAACAGTAAGGTATAGACGTATGTTACCATTCAGTTAGGATGTTACCATTTAGTGATATTGATGTTGGTGTAATCTCATGATTTATTGATATCCATTTCTGTATATTGGGCTATACACAGTCTCATACTTGAGTAGTGTCATATATATCCACCACTATAGTAAAAAGAAAGAACAGCTTCAAAATGGGTCTTTGTGATACCTAGCCTTTAATGACTGGGCTGTCTCTCCAACCCTGGGATGCCTGTTTATGTCCCTATAATTCTCCCATGGCTTCTTGAATCCTAGAACTGATTCTTCCATAATCTGTTTTAAAATTTTCCCTATTTAAGAAATATCTCATAAAGGTGTATCCAAGATTTTACATTAAATAAATGGTTGCAACCTTCTACTAATGTTATGATTTATGTATATATGTATATGCATAAATTTATGTATGTATATAAAAGTTAGATTAACATATGAAAGAGAACATGTAACATTTATATTCTCTACTTATACCCCTTCCTCATAATGGTTCCTTTTATACTTGTTTTATATATGTGTGTGCATGTCTGTACATGTTTATGTGTACCACATGTGAGAGAAAACGTATTTGTCTTTCTCAGTCTTAATATATAGTTCACATTCTCTATCCATTCATTTGTGGATGGACATCTAGCTAAGTTTCTTATCTCAGTTATCTTTAATCATGCTGCTGTAAATATGGATGTTCCTGTTTCTTGTTAGGAGCTTAGATTTTGGGGGGGTGTATATATGGTAGTGATATAACTGGATCACAGGGTAGTTTGTATTTTTAGCTTTTTGAGCAACCTCCATACAGGTTTCCATGGTGGCTGAACTAGTTACATTTTCAGGCACAGTATAAAGGATTTTATTTTACCATTCTCACCAAATGTGTTGTTATTTGTTCTCTTTATTACAGCCATTCTGACTCGAGTGAGATGGAATGGAATCTCCTTGTAGGTTTGTTGATAGTCTTTTGTTTTGGTGGTTTGAGACAAGATCTCACACTGTAGCCAAAGCTAACTTTGAATTTATGGCAATTGTCCTGCCTAACCCGCCTGAGTTCTTAGATTCCTAGTGTATTTCATCATACATAGCTATTTATGTAGTTGTTTTTATATAGTTTTATTTATTCTTTGAGAATTTTATGCATGTATACAATGTATTTTTTATTAACTGATTAATTTTTTCCTAGTCCGATTGATTAGTTTTCCCTCCTTCCTGTCCTCCCCAGTCCCTCTCCCCAAACCTCACCCCCCACACACACCCTCTGCCTTCTCTTCAGAAAAGTGCAGGCCTCCCATGTGTATCAGCCAGCCAAGACATATCAAGTTGCAGCAAGACAAGGCACCTCCTCTCACTATTAAGGCTGGAGGAGGCAACCCAGCTGGAAGAAAGGGTCCCAAGAGCAGGCAACAGAGTCAGAGACAGCCCCTACTCCCTCTACCAGGAGTCCCACAGAGGATCAGGCCACACAACTGTTACACATGTGCAAAAGGCCCAGGTCAGTTCCATGCACATTCTCTGGTTGGCAGTTCAGTCTCTGTGCGTCCCTAGAGCCCCGGTTAGTTGATTCTGTGTGTTTTTCAGTGGTGTCCTTGGCCTCTCTGACTCCCATAATCCTTCTTGTCCCTGTTCCAAAGGGTTTTCCAAGGTCCACCGAATGTTTGGCCGTGGGTCTGTGCCTCTTTCTCTATCAGTTGCTGGGTGAAGTGTCTGATAACAGTTGAGCTAGTCAATAGTATATGAGTATAGCAGAATATCATTAGGAATCCTTGGATTGAGTTTTTCCCCTTTTTGCCAGTCATGCTTGGTTCTATTCTAGGTGTCTGGGAAATCCAGCGTTGGGTCTTGTCCCTCCAGGCATTATCAGGGGTGGGTTCCCTCTCATAGTGTGGTTCTCAAGCTGGAGCAGTCATTGGTTGGCCACTCCCATAATTTCTTGGCCACCTTTGTCCCAGCATATCTTGTAGGCAGAGCAAATTGTAATTAAGAGGTTATGTGGTTGGGTTAGGATCCTAATCCCTCCATTGCAAGTCTTGCCTGCTTACAAGATATGGCCAGTTCAGGCTCCTGGTCTCCCATTGCTAGGAGTCTTAGTTAGGGTCACCCTAATAGATTTCTGGGAGTTTTCATTGCACTGGGTTTCTAGCTCATCCCAGAGATGCCTATGATTTCAGTTGTCTTTGCAAGTGCTGTCTCCCTCCATCTCCCACTCCCCCTCCACACTCTGTTCCCATGTCCACTCCACCCCCCTGTCTACCTATGGTATCTATTCTATTTCACCTTCACAGTGTGATTCTCGTGTTCCTGTTGAACCTTCCTTGTTACTTAGCTTCATTGGATCTGTGGATTTAAATAATGTATTTTGGTCATATTATCTCCCAATTCACACCTCCAGTTGTTCCCAGATTGCCCCCATAAACCACTCCCTACTTCATACCCTCTTTTTCTTTTTTCAATCCACTGAGTTTAATTAGTGTTGTCACCTGCATATAGTAGGGCCTTTGGAACATCATCAGTTTACCAGGGGTCACACCTTTAAAGGACTCTGTGTGTGTTCTTGGTACCTTGTAGCAAGTGGCTACAGCTGCTGTATGTCTGCTTCTGAGTCTCCTCTTTGGTCCATTAGTTTCTATGTCTTATTTTTGTGCCACTACCTTGTTATCTTTGTCACCATGACTGAGGTGCAGTCCTAAGTCTCCATCAGTGCTCACCACACTTCCACTAGTTACTTAAGTTCTTTGTGCTTCCGTGTTAAGTTTTGGATTTTTTTTACTGAGTTTTATGAATAATATCATTGAAATTTCAATGCACAGTTTTTTGAATTTTCAAGTTTTATTAATATAAACATTACCAGAATATAAATTTTGCCATTCCGTGATCATGGATTATAGAAGTATTTCACCTGTCTTGTTAGTTTTATTTAAAGATATATTTAAGGTAGTAAATTGGACTATTTTCCATACTTATTTTCAACAATTTCATTAATGGTATATAGAAAAGCTCCTGATATTTTATGTTGATTTTTAATTCTGCCAATTTGCTGAATGTCTTTGTCAAATTCAGGAGTTTTCTGGCAGAGTCTCCAGGATTTTTTAAATATAGGGTCATATCATCTGAAAATAAGGAAAATTTGACTTCTTTTTTCCCTATTTTTTTAAATATGTGTGTGTGTATAGATGGAGCAGGCTTTATTTATGAATACATGTATATAATACCTGCATATATTAACAGTTAATGAAAGAAGCCATGGATTTTAAGGAGGGCATGTAGAGGTAGGAATAGTATAACTATAGTATTATATAAAAATTTAAAGTATGTGTATGCACCCCCCCATGTGCATGTCCAATTTCTGTGGATTGGAGAGATGGGATAGGACCTCCTGGGACTGGAGTTGCAGATGGCTGTGAGTCACTCTTTGAGTTCTGGGAGTCATATCTCCAGCCTCTCCTTCTTTTATGTCCATCTCATGCCTTAGCTAAAGCTAAGACTTCATTCACTATATTGAATAATAATGGAGAGAATGAACACACTTGTCTTTTTCTGAATTTTAGGAAAAGTTTCTTAGCTTTACCCAATTTACTATGATATTGGCTCTAGATTCTTTGTATAAGCCTTTTAAATATTGACGTATGTTCCTTCTACTCTGACTTTCTTTCAGGAGTCTATATGAAAGGTTGTATCAAAGGACATTCTGCCTCTGAAATTGCTTGTTCTTAAATTTATGTGCTGCCATATCTTATCTATTGACTTGTATGTGTTGAAACATTGTCACATTCATGGATTTAAACTGATTTGGTGATGGAGTTGTTTTCAGTATATTGTCGAATTCAGTTTACAAGTATTTATTGAGAAGATTTTCTTATGTGTTCAGTAAGAAATTTATATTTAGTTTTTTCTTTGTATTGTGTCCTCATCTAGATTTGATATCCAGATTATAGTGACTTCATAAAATGACTTTGGTAATATTCCTTAACTTTCTATTTTTATTAAATTCTAAGAGGAGGACTGTTGTAGCTATTCTTTAAAACTCTTGTAGAATTTAACAATGAATCTATCTGATTATTGCTTTGCTAGGAACTTATTACTTTCTTTGATTTCAATTTCCTTGACTTAATTTTGATAGATTGTGTTTC